GTTGTTTGTTCGCGAACTTTCCGAATTGGGTTGGCCTTTAATAATGACTCCCTTTAAAGCTGCAATTGCAACGTGGCCCATCAAACATTTCATTAATTAAACCTTTGCCTACCGCAAAAATTAAAAAAAAAAAGATTTGAATATACCGATTTTTTTTACGTGCCCTATGCTCTGTTTTACCTTGTGTTGTACCGCAGGAAAGGGTACAAGCGCGAGCTCCTTGCTCTAGGGCACATCTCGGCGGCACGAGCTCCCGTGCACCAAGGGCAGCTGCCAACGGTACGAGCTCGCGCTCCTAGCTTTCGCTACATGCACCGCTCAAAGAGAAAAAAGGAGAAAAAAAAGGCGGGCAAGCGCGAAACACATGTACGACGAAACCGTCCGATCCGACGTCCGACCGCGCAATACGACAGTCGGAGGCGAGGGTTTTCAACGCTCTCCGATGCTACGAAAACCCTCTCCCCCCAAGGTCATTCCGGCAGTCCGCACGTCGGATCGGAAGGTTTTCGTCGTACATGTGTTTCGCGCTTAAGCCGCCACGAACTGTCAATACACGCGCCCTCACGAGCTCCCGTTGCCGAGCCGCTCCGGTCCCAACACTACCCAAGTATTCTAGTACACTGTAATTCCATTTAGCGCTCTCTAGGCGGCACCATTTTGTTCGACCGCAGCGCCCTCTCCACACATCTGGGAAGTTCAGAGGGTTCGGAGGGGTAAAACGAGAGAGAGGGCACGGCCCCGACTACGCTAGCAGACGACAAACCGGGAGGTTGCCATTCTCCATCTTTGGGCTGTATCGGCGGGCTCTCTGCTGTTCTATTTCGCTAAATGATCAACTAGCATATCCTTTTCCCGTTACTTAAATAGCAGTTGAGTCAGCCGGCAGTACTACCCTCAACTACTGCGTGTGTTGCGGCAGGAGAGCACGTTTTATTTATTATTTAAGACTTCCACTCATGGTCGCTAAAATCCTCCACCAGTACGAACTTTGTATAGTAAAAAGGGTACAGCAACCGGATTTGCTTTTCGCCAAAGAGACCGGCCAATCTGACACAGTTTTCCCTATTTTTTTTTATTTGCACGCAGGTAACAGCGCAATTGGACCCTGTGAGTGGTTTTATCTAGCATAGTATTACACAAAAACTGGCAGACCAAAATCTGCCCATCTGCGCTTGAAAGTTCCAAAATGACGCGATTTTAAACAGAGTTTGCACGCCAGCCGGACGCTAGCTACAGCCCACTCAGCGAAGCAGACGATATCGGGGTGAGAGGGGGAGTGCATTTTTTTCTCTTTTACCCTCTCTGCTATGACCCTAATGGAACGTTCCATTAGGGTCATAGCAGAGAGGGTAAAAAGAGAAAGCTATTGGTAGCATAATTCGAATATCCATGCTATATTTGAGGAAGGGGAAGGGCGCGGTATGCAACTTAATTAAACGGTCTACAATTCTTCAATATTTGTTTTGTTAAATACGAAACATTCGGGGCGCTAAATTTTTTTGGGGCGGGGAAGGTTGCTTCCGCGCAATCGCGCTCATGCGCTCATATCAATTATGTTTTAATTACTCAGGTTTGGATCTTACCCCCTCTCCTAGTTATTTACTCGCACAAATATAAATCGTGTTGCTAAAAAGATAGATAGCGCTCCTCGTAAACGATTGGGACGTGCACCGGCGCGAGCTGTACCTGTTGATAAATAATACTATATAGGAACCATACCTAATATCTCTATGCTATTGGAGCAAGTAAAAAAAAACTTTCTCCGGCACGCCACGCGTTTTCGGGTGCAACCAGTATTCCTACTATGCTCAATCTTGAGCGACTAACGGGATGTCGGGATAGCAGGTTAGAACGTCGATTTGTTATCACCAATATTATGTGAATGAAAAAAAAAGATTGTTTCATATCTTTTTGAATGTAATCTAGAAACGTATCGTCAGCAATTTTTTGACAATCCACTATGAGTTAACTTTTATATCCTACCAAATAAATGTAGCAGCCTTTAAACCCAACTGCGACCAAGTCCGGCGTTTCGGCCGTACTCGAGCACGAAGACGTGCATGTGTGCATTTTGTAAAGAACTCCAGACAACATTTTGAACAAACAAGTATACAGGCGAATCAGAGCAGTTCCGAGCCGGCTTTCATTTTTTTTTATTTATTTTATTTATTTATTTATTTCAAAATACTGCCAATCCCCGAAGGGATTATTGCAGGCATTGGTACACAATAAAAAGATACATGTGAGGCACTTAACAACGAATGAACAACACTTCTCGTCATTCAAAACATCCAATAATTACGAAAAAAGTTCATCTTCGACTGCATTGATAAATGATTCAACAGTGCCGTGACTGAACACGTGTGGATCAAGGCTATTCCAGATTCTAATGGCAGAGGGAAAAAATGAGTGTTTAAAAGTGTTATTATGAAACGAATAGTCAACAAGTGTATGGCTGTGCTTGTGTCTAGTCGGTCTTGTGTTAGACAATTGTACGTACTTGGATGAGTCAATCTTAAAGGCGCCTTGTAAAAGAAGGTAGAGAAATTTTAGACGATTTAATGTTGCGCGGTCAGTAATGGTCTGTAAACCTGCTCTTTTCAGAAGCTCTGTAGGGGAGTCAAAACGACCATACTTATGATAAACAAACCTAATTGCCTTTCTCTGAAGGCTTTCAAGTGTGTTTATGTTTATATTCGTGTGAGGGAACCAAGCAATATTTGCGTATTCAAGCACTGGACGTATAAGGGTTTTATATGCTAGGAGTTTTGTTTCACAAGACGAACCTTTTAAGGTTCTCTTCAGAAGGAATAATTTCGTGAGAGCTTTATTAAATACATATTTAACGTGTGCGTTCCAGTTAAGATCAGATGTTATTAAGACTCCTAGGTACTTATACTCGGTGACTCTATGCAAGGGTTCATCTTTAAGGCTATATTGAAACTGGGAGACATTCTTTTTCTTTCTCGTGAAACTCATGGAGACTGTTTTTTCTTTGTTAATCACCATTTGCCAGTCATCGCACCAGTCGGAAATCTTTTTAAGAGATTTGTTTAGTAGGATGTGATCCTCTTGGTTCTTAATTTCTTGATATATGATACAATCGTCAGCGAATAATCTTATGTTAACATCAATGCCATCGGCTATGTCATTTATGAAAAGTAGAAATAAAAATGGAGCTAAAACGGAACCTTGTGGGACGCCGGATACTACTGCAACTGGTCGCGTACTTTGTCCCTCGTGATAAACAAATTGGAAACGATTTTTTAAGTAGTCTTCAATCCATGCAATTATCGGTCCTTCGCCCATAACATGTTTAAGTTTTATTATCAGTTTGTCGTGGGAAACGCGATCAAACGCTTTCGAGAGATCCAAGAACACTGCATCTACCTGACTTCTGTTGTTTATGCCCATCGTGAAATCGTGAAGAATCTCAATTAGCTGTGTAACGGTCGATAGTCCACTTCTAAAACCATGCTGATGTGGGAATAAGATATTGTTATTTTCTACAAATGATGTCATGACTTTGAGAATAATATGCTCGAGAAGTTTGCAGCAGGTGCAAGTAAGTGATATGGGCCTAAAATTTGAGGCTAGAGTTTTATCGCCAGATTTATGTATAGGGATTACTTTCGCAACTTTCCATTCGGCGGGTACCGAAGAAAGGAAGAGAGACTTGTTAAAAATTAACACTAAATACTTGCTAACCCATTCGGCGTATCTTTTAAGAAACATATTCGGAATTTCGTCAGGACCGTTAACTTTTTTGGTGTCTAAATTGAGTAAAAGTGCAAATATGCCTGGTTCCGTAACTATTAGGCTTCCAAGTTCTTCAGCAGTGTTGCATTGTGGTAAAGTTAAACCGTCATTACCATCATCAGCTGTAAATACCGACTTAAAGTAATTGTTAAATTCATCTGCCATTTTTTGTTTCTCTATGGAGCTCATACAATTCATTTGAGACTTTTTAGGGTTAACGTGGTTCCAAAATTTCCGAGGTGACGCTTTCATGAACTCGTGGAGGGTCACGTTATAGTACTTATGTTTGGCTTCTTTAATTTTTAATTTAAGAAGTTTAGAGTGCTCTGAAATCTTTGCTTTGTAGTCGGTGTTATCCTGGAGGGAGTGTATTTTTGATGACTTCCTTAGCCGCTTGAGTTTGCGTTTCAGGTGGATAATTTCTCGCGTAATCCATGGGTTGTGCTTTCTTGGTATTTTTTGTTTTTTTTGGGATGAACTGTGTAACACAGTGCGTGATAATTGATTTAAACTCGTTCCATATGTCGTCAATACTGACATCTATCTCGTCACAAAGTTCACGGAAATCATAAAATCTATGAGCAAGGTACGTTAATATACACGCGTCATCGGCACTGTTGAAATCAAGTACAGTTTTGATGGTACCATATGAGAACCTAGATGTTCGTATAGGTATGGTGCATATAACTGCTTTATGGTCGGACATGCCCGTTACTACTTCAACATCGACTTGGCTCTGGGGGAAGTGGTCACTAAGAAATACAAGGTCAAGCAGACTGCTGGACGTTCCCTGCACCCGTGTTGGCTCTCTGACGATTTGTGACAGATTAGACGCAAATAAAATGTCTAATATTGCATCAGAGGTAACAGTGCCAAGTTGCAGCGAATCCCAGTTTACCTCAGGTATATTAAAATCGCCAGCCATAACAATCCTTTGATTTTTAATGTGTTGTTGCATGTAATCATATAAGTTGTACAGACACTTGTGGTCGGAGTTTGGAGGCCGATAAACGACACCTACAACAACAGAATAATAATCGAATGACACTTTGCACCATAAAGATTCAACATCTTTCACATCAGGCATATGTCCGTAGGGGATACCTCGTTTTAGAAGTATTGCTACTCCGCCACCTCTAGTCGTTCTGTCTTTTCTCAGAATGATGTAATTTGGTGGGACAATTTCGCTATCAAGTATTAAGGGATGTAACCACGTTTCTGTGATTGTAACTATGTGTGGATTAAATTCTAAGAGAAAGGACTCCAATGAATATGCTTTATTTTGAAGACTCCTTGCATTTATATTTACGACTCTAAGGTTAGATGGCAGAATGTGGCTTTCGGTTAGTTTTCGTCGGGAACATCGTTTTTTTCTACGGGAATTATGTCTTCTTTTGTCTCATCCCACGCATAGAGATGCCCATTTATGCGAACCTTATCATATGTTAAGAAAACCTTTTCTCGCTTATCTCGGTTTGCTTTAGTGCGGTCCCAAAGCTTCTTACGTATTTGCTGTACGTGTCGGGAGAAATCTTCACCGATTGAAAAATCTGTTCCTTTCAGTTTGACGCAGTTTTTCAGTATCTTTGATTTATCTCTACTGTCCAGTAGTTTGAGTATGACTGGACGGATCTTGTTATCAGCCTGTTTCCCGAGGCGGTGAATTCTTTCGATGCCTGCTATTTGTACGTTTAGAATTCTCTCGAGAATTTCACCTACGACCACTCTTTCGAGTGTCTGACTGTTTTCGTTCTCTTGTTCTTTAATTCCGTAGACAATCAGATTCGACCGTCTACTTCGATTTTCTAAGTCGTCTACCTTTCTGGTAATAATTTTAACAGTCGTTTCAAGTTCAGTCATTCTCTCCCGACATGCACTGACGTTCTTTTGAAGCGTACTGAGACTGTCCAGTTTGTGCTCGATCGCAGAAAGTCTGTCATTTGTTATACCCTTTTCATTTTTAATTTCCTGTATGTCCCGGGCGATTTCTTTCAGTTTTTGTAAAATAGCGCCTGTTTCTGGACCAGGGTTGACCTCAACATCGCCGCTCAGCAAAAGTAGCATTCTCAGAGAGAAAAACACATCGCACAACCACAAGTAACAGGACCGTGGGCACGGCAGCAAAATCAAGCAAACATTATTGCTACGGTAGGACTTGCAAAATCGTTTGCTTACCTGGACGAGAAAGACGAATGGGTTGTTAGCCCTCATGTTGGCAGTGCTGCCGTGCCCAATGCCGTGGAGCGTCTCGCTGCGCCGTTTTATAGCCCGAAGCGGTGATGTCACAGTCGAAGATAAAAGTTCATCAAAAAACGAACGACTGATTCCAGGTTCGAAGATAAGATGCTTGCTGTCGTCCAGCGTCGGTGCAATTCCTCCGATGACGGAAGGGAACGGCGTGTCGCGGCGCGCAGCATCGGTGCCTGCGTTCAGCTTGTTGACGTTGACCGGCACCAGCACAATGTCAAGCAGGATCTGGACGAGAAAGACGAATGGGTTGTTAGCCCTCATGTTGGCAGTGCTGCCGTGCCCAATGCCGTGGAGCGTCTCGCTGCGCCGTTTTATAGCCCGAAACGGTGATGTCACAGTCGAAGATAAAAGTTCATCAAAAAACGAACGACTGATTCCAGGTTCGAAGATAAGATGCTTGCTGTCGTCCAGCGTCGGTGCAATTCCTCCGATGACGGAAGGGAACGGCGTGTCGCGGCGCGCAGCATCGGTGCCTGCGTTCACCTTGTTGACGTTGACCGGCACCAGCACAATGTCAAGCAGGATCTGGACGAGAAAGACGAATGGGTTGTTAGCCCTCATGTTGGCAGTGCTGCCGTGCCCAATGATATTGGCTTTAAAAGTAGTGACCGTGCATAAGACGGGCGCGCTCGAAATAGCAACGTCTGCCTTCAGGCGTATCAACGTATAGCGCCCGTTTGCCTCCTCCACGAAATAACAAAACGCTGTGCTTATATCGGGGCCTCGCAGTCTACATGAGAGCATCCGAGATGAGCGGGAGAGCCCTGTCCCCCTTCTCGTCACCCCGCTACGAAGCAGCGACCAGCGGCAAAAGACTACGCCAAGCCGACGCCAAGCAAGCCGCAGCCGAAGAGCTTAGATAAATCAATAGGCACATTTCCTCTTTTCACACAACTCGCACAGGACCAGCCCTACGAGCTAACAGCGCAATTGAAAAGCAAGCGTCGGCTCAACTTCCCCGAATATGTACCAAGAATTCACGTGACCCGCCCTTCCTCGACGTCACCCCGCAAACCCTCACCAAAACCGCAGCCCCTCAGAGACCTTATGCCTTGCAGAACTCATGAACTCAACGACCATATGAACTCACGCCCGTCACCGGACTCATGAAATCACTGAACTCAAAAACTGAGGTCCCTAACCGAACTCATGCACTCATCGACCTTATAAATTCACGCCCCTCACCGAACTCATGAACTCACGAACTCACGCCCCTCAGCGAACTCATGAACTCATCGAACTCAAACTCACCGATCTCACGCCCTTCTCTCAACCTCAAATTCATGAGTTTTCGAGACTTATTAACTCACTCACCCTCCCGTCACGCCTGTTCGGTGAACATGAGTGAGGTAAGTGAGTCCACTCATGAGTTAGTTTTACCGAGCTATGCTTCTGGGACAACCTCTAGGACGACCTCGAAGACGACCACTAGGACGACGCCGAGGGCGAAGTCAAGGACGACGCCGAGGGCGAAGTCAAGGACGCCAGGTCAAGTTAGCCACAGCTACCGACGCAGTGCCTAGGAGCTTACGCGAACGGAGCTTACACAACCGGCGCTTACGCGACCTTGATTACGCGACCTCGAGCTTCAGCCACGGGCTGAAGACATTACAAAACATGACCTCGAGGATTATATGACCTTGAGGATGAGGACATGACCTTGAGCGTGGTTCGGCCTATAAAGCTGCCACTTTAAGAACGCGGTTTATACTACTATGATTACGGTGCCTGGAACGCGTCTTGAACCAATGCATTTAACGTCCCATCCCACCCACACTTCAAAAATGGTCCTGAAGTGCGAAGAAATGAAACCACAGAAGCCGGCCTGTCCTGTCGGACGTCGCCATCCCGGAGGTTGGTACTAGGAGGCCCGGCAAAAAGTACGAGAAAACGCTAGTGTCGCTGTCTTCGCGGAGTTCCAACTCCTGTCTGCTGAAGCTTCCGTGGACTGTCAAACTGGAAAGTTACCTGCAGGAGCACAGGCGTCTGCCACATCCAACACCACTGTTGTGTAACGCCGCCAGCGCCGCAGCCGGCGACGACGTGGTACTTTTACGACGTCATCAGGCGGGAATGGAGGGACCACATTTTGGGACGCAGTGGGAGACGGGTTCCAGGCACAATACTATGACGTACTAAAACCACTGTTGAAAGAGGCCCCCGGATGGAATGAGAGCATGGTGACTTCCCCAGATTATTGGAGAGGACACAAAACTCATCCAGAAGACCAGTTGATTGGGTCTTTCAAAGCTGAACGATACAGGAAAAGTTTTTCTTGATGGGAAGCCCTCTCTTACTGGAGATGCATTGTTTTCGACAACATGTAAAACACACCAACAGATATGGCAATAGAAAGTTAGGAATGTATCATAATATGCGCCCCGGTTTGGGTATTTAATGAAAGTTATAAACTAAGACTACGTATACTGTTCATATCACAGCACCACGTAATATCGTAGCAGCCATGTACATGGTCTTATTTCTGCATAGAGTTGCGCGTCTGGTGATGATCCCAAGTACGCAACTACGTTAGCAAGACTCCATAATCCGTGGCACTCGTTTAGGAGGCAATATCTCGAAAAAGAAACAAAATACATGGCTTGCAAGCTCCTTCTAATCAAGGAATCGCCCAATTTTATCACGATGTTGTGACGATTTTTTTTCCCTCTAAACTCAAAGGATTCTGAAAAATGGCGCCATTGCCTTCCCTCCCTGCTAGCAGGACACAAACAAATGCTAACATAGAGACAACCAAAACCTCGCAAGGCTATTGGCTGATAGGTCTTTATTGCCATAAACCTCCATCTCAAATGTTATATGTTTCGAAAGGGCCTTTCTGAAACAGCCGCGCCAAGATCAATATAAAGCGACATCGTACTAAACGCGTTCCTCGCCAATATAGGCGTCTTTAGCACTATATATAATAATTTAAAAAAATACTGTTGTGTGTATGTTTATACTGCCTAAAGGTTATTCCGCCTCAATGGGCGTCTGGTGTCTCAGCTGTAGATGAGCAATTTAACCAGCGCAGCAGAACAAATGCTAGCTCGAGGTCTTTCACTATCATCACGCAGTAGTGATATCCGACCGCACGACGGTAAGGTTGCTCACCCAGATCAAAACATGCCTAAGGGGTGGGGATTCCTGGGTTCTGCAGCGCGAGCTTTCCCTCCACGTGCTCCGAGCTGGTGTGCGCTAAAGCCCCTCGATGTGTTTGCGTTTGTCTTGCAAGTAGCGTCAAATGCGCGAGTGCACGAGGCTCATGTCTCGAGCGGCCCTTGGAAGCAAATGGCGGCACAGCACTGAAATGAGCGGGCCTTGGAAGCGAATGGCGGCGGAGCACCCGCTCATGGCACGTGTCTCGCGCTCTTCCACGACAATGGTTGGCGGTGCTTGTAAAAAACGCTTTTATCAAGGGGCTTTAGTGTGCGCTAGCCTGGTGCCACTAAATAAGCTCATGCCCCAGAGTAACGACACTTTGCCATAGTGTGGCTTAAAATCATGGTTGCCAGTTATCTGAAGCTTTATCTGAAATCACGGGAAACGCTTTTCCGTCGTCCACAAATGTTTAAACAGTTCGCGACAAAGCAAAGCAATATTACACGAGCTTTCTAACACCGAATGTAATGCTGAAGAAGTCGCACTTTAGAATCATGACGATCGGCAGTTGCGTCTGCTCTGCACAAACACCAAAATGGCGGCGCCCATAGCAATGACGGGGAACGGAGTGCTGATACTCCAAGCACAGCTCATTTAGTGGCTCTACGCTAGCCCATTCGGCTACTGATCCCTTATATGTACAGAATCAACTTATCAATAATGGTTATCTCCACCCACCTCTTACCATTATATTGTTCTTCTGGCGAATTTCAAGACAAGCAAAACATTTTTTTTTATGCCGCCAAGCACCGATGCCATATGAGACGGCAGTGCAAAGATGAGCGCTTGTTTCACAGCGTGTGAATAACAAAGTCTGTGTGTACAAAAAATGTGCTTATAAAATAACCTGTCACCACGGATTTGTATCGGTTCACCAAGAGTGGAGAGATCAAGGAGAAACGGCTCATTCCAAGGACCAAAACGGCAATCATACACTGTATAGAAAGCTTGGCGCTTTCCCAGGATCCAGTAACAGTAGCTTTCTCTAAACCATGTAAAACTAAATCACCCAGTACTGAAAATGCTTCGAATAATAACGGCCTAAATACGCGTAAACCAAAGGGAAATAAAAAATCAACAAATAATAAGTGGTGACAAAATACAACAGCAAGAAAAAATTATTGCGACTTAGTTGACATTGTAGTGTTACCAGACTTGTAAAAGGTGCACAAAAAAGTAGTTAAGTTACCGAGTATCGGCCTCAAACGTAGTTTTAGTAGAGAAGAAATTACTCAATTGGAAAGTAATTTCAGTAGAATAGAAATTGCTCAATCGGAAAGTAATTTGAGTACAGTAGAAATTTCTCAATTGGAAAGTAATTGAGTGAACTGCTAAATACCATAAAAGTTGGGAATTACTTTTGAAGTTAATTTCTATAATCGTTTTTATGGTAGCAAGAAACCAGAGGCTTTTATCCGTTAGCAAAATCCCCACAAGTCTAACAAAAGAACGGACTTTCTGGCTTGTCTTCCCTAAAATGTTTTATTAGCCCAAAGTAGCAATTTGCACTGAACGTTCTGTCTGGAGGTTTTGCTTCTGCGTGCCCTGGTGTTTTGTTATTTTTAATATTTTGGTTAATAACGTGCTGCTGGTGTACAATTTCAACTATGTGGTTTTGCACTGTCTGAGCTTGGTTCTGTTTGCTTGTTTACAGTTTCTTTATGCCAAAAAGTTGGAGGAAATAATAAGGTTTTTCTAACTATTTTTTTAAATCTTGAAATACTTGCATGTTCTGAGGTCTGGGAGGAGAGGGCAACGCAGAGGTTACCTTTGCGTGTTCCTTTAGCTCGCGACAGGAGGGTTTTTCCACCTCAGATCATATAGTATGGTCCGAACCATAGGTTTTATAGTTAACTAAAAATATATCTGAGAGCCATGTTTTCGGGAGTAATATTGAGCTATATCTGAAAATTGTAACTGATTTTCTTCCGGAGATATAACATTTGGAAGCTTGTGGCGTGGAGATTGCTAAGGTACTTTGCACTATGGTACTTTGCACAGCTGTCAATTTCACAACGACGCATGCACGTAGCAAAAACCTTCCCTATTTGTTTTATGAAAAGTTTTGCAATATGCATACAGAATATCACAATAAAATGTATATGCAAAAAAGCTACAGAGGAAGCCGAGCAAACATGTTTTAGAGACATTCACAACTTTTCTACCAAGAAGCTACTTTATATAAAATGGTGCAAAATGTCTAAAACTTGAGCAGTGTGCTTTGATGTCTAAAACTTACCGTCTTTAAATGCATTTTACGAATATATAAAAATATATGCTTAGTATTACTGTAG